GGCACAAATACGAGTATATATAACATATTTTTACAACACACGTTGATTTGTTATGCTCGATTTAATTGACTTGTTGTGCTAATTTGAATGAGTAAAAATTGTGATCTAATAATATAATTAATAGTTGTTAGCTACATAATCAACATAGAGGCAACATGAAGGGAAGTAAATCCTTGCAACAAAATTGAAAAGCTCAATTGACAAAAATGCTAACAACTACGATTAGCTATCTAAGATTGGTTAATCTATTTATATTTTTCCTTTTAAATTTATATTTATAAATAAACACAACATGATGCAAACGATCGAATAATCGAAGCTCTTTTGGTTATGGATTGAATACCTAACTCTTTATACATTGATTCAAAGTGAAAAATTAATATCATCTCGGTGTAAAAGTTACTTTGAGACATGCATGCCATCATTAACCCAATAGTCCGAGCAAGAGTTAGAAATTTTAACACGCAATTAATTCAACAACCGTTTACTTATCTTCGCTTTTTCACATTTTTTCTCTCATAACATGATGGCTAGTTAATGTGTTACAATCCAATTTTACATCATTGTTTCGCCTTCTTTTCAAAGGGTACGAAGACAAGATCTTTATTGGGATTTCGTATTTCCTCCACCCTAAAGTCCTTAAAAGTAAGGTAAACAAAAAAGAAAAAATTTCCCTAAAATAATCATAAATTAAACAAAATCCCCGGCCCCCTCCTCCCCAAAAAACCGCAGGCATTTCAAACTTGAAACATTCCAAACTTCCTAATGCCGATTGCTAAGATAATTCTAACACATGTACTAGAGTATATTTTTGTGGTTGAAACATCTATAAATCTTTTATTCTATACCTTTTGCTATCGATGTCCTTTAATTAATAACTTTTTATTCTATACATATTTGTATGGTTACATACCTTTCGATTGCATGATACGACAATTAATGTTATCTTAGACCGTGTTTAATTTTTTTTATTATTAATTATTTTTATTAAATTTTTATTTATTTATACACACAAACACATCTATGTATATATTTTTATTTGTGTTAAAAAATATTATGTTATAATTGCAAGGTTAAAATTATCATGTATATAGCCTTAATATGTTCAACAATAATACTTATCAAACAACCATATTATATTGAGCATTTAATTTTTAGTAAATAACAAAAAATTTATCAGTAATATATTCAATACTTAATTATTTAAGACTTAAAATATAGTACTTAATAAATTCAATACTTAATTTTTAGTTTTATCAAACATCCCTAAGACTCAAATTACTATGGATTGTGACTCGATCCAATAATTTTCATTCTTTGCATGCATTTCGACCATCTCTTTTTGATGCTTTTACCATGGCTTGCTTGATGCCATGCGATTTGCCAACTATTATTTCTCCTTTTTCTTTAACATCTTTTGGTGGTCGTGTCCTATTATTCCTTTGCCTTTTTTCTATTATTTTTTCTTTATGATTCACCAATTTTTTCCATCAATTAACACTTCTCTCTCTCTCAACTCCTTTTTTGATGCCTTTTTCTTTTTAGCTTATTTTTAGTTGACCTATTGAGTGCTCTTTTGATCTTACCTTAATGCTCTCATTTCCATTTGTTTGTTAGCCCCATTTCTTGCCTTTTTTTGTAAGTGCAATCATTTTTCTCGTCATTGTATTTAACACATCACAATGATAGTTATGCACCCCTTTATTTAAAAAATATATTATTCCCTTCATTTTTCTTCATTCCCACCAATTTATGTGCAACCCTCGACCATTTCGGACAAATCATGGAGCTTGTAATTTTTAACTATTATATATATGTATTATGCCCGTAATTATATAATTTTCTCCTTTTCTTTTTTCTTTTTTGTGTTTTTTCTAAAATTTTGTGTGTACATTTCATTAAGTTGTGTTTTTTTTTTTAACGATTACATCAATGTGTTATTCACTAAAGTTTATTTTTGATGAAAAAATAATTTAATTTTTTTTAACTAGATGGATTTTTTGTGCATCATTAATTACCTAATAACAAAAGTAAGATTCATAAATATATATAAAAAAATCATCTAAGCTACTTTAAAGCTAATTATTATTAAAAAAAATTATAGTTAATATTAATTTTTTTAAAAAAATTAATAATTTAGATTTTTTTTTACTAGATGAATCCATTATACATCATTAATTATCTAGCAATAAAAGTTAAATTCATAAACAACAAAATCTTCTAAACTTTTATTTAAAAATAGCTATTATAAAAAATAAAATTAATTTTAATTCTTAAATTTTTAACTAGATGAATCCATTGCACATCATTAACTATCTAACAACAAAAGTAAGATTCATAAAAAAAGAAAAAAAAATCTAAGCTACCTTAAAGCTAACTCGCTATTAAATATTGTTTTGAAATTAAATTTAATTCTTAAAAAATTAATAATTAAATTTTTTTTTAACCAAATGGATCTATTACACATCATTAATTATCTAACACAAAAAGTGAAATTCATAAATAGCAAAATAATTTAATTTTTTTAAATTAACTATTATTAAAAAAATTATTTTATTTTTTAACTAGATGGATTCATTACAAATCGTTAATTATCTAACAATGAAATTAAGATTCATAAACGATCCATTACACACAATTAATTATCCAACAACAAAATCATCTAAAGTTTCTTAAAATTAACCATTATTAAAAAAATTAATTTTAACTCTAAAAAAAAGGAACGAGTTAACATTTTGATCGTAAAAAAATAATAGAAAAGAATAAAATTTATGAAAAAACTAATAGTTTTGAATTCAAATTGTATGTACCTTAAATTGCCATAACTCAATAGTTTTGAGTTATTTTTGCTATTAAACCTCTAGATTAAGCTATTTGATGGACAAATAGAAAAGTCGTTAATCTTTTCAATACATTCCAATTTTTCTTTTGCTCCTTTGGTAAACTAATTAGATTGATTGGATTCCTTTTTTTTTTTTTTTCTTTTTGTAAACTTTATGGATTTTTTAATAGATTGGTGAAGGAAAAAAAGTCTTTTGGGGTTATTGTTTGATTAAATATGGATGAATTTGTTGTAGGCTTGATTTTTTTTTTTTAATGCCATGAATTACTATTTATTGTCTCAAATTATTTCTCTCTATCTTTCTTTTTTACCCTAAAGTCTTGCTTGCGAGGGCATGTTTTCTTCTTCTTCTTCTTTTGCACTTTTGCTTCTTTTTTTTTCATTAATTTATTTTAAATTTTATTATTATGGATTATTGGGAAAACATTATAGAAGATCGATCATTATTTTTCTGGTTTCTTAAAAAATCTAGAGAGAAAAAAATATGTGTGACATGTTTTTATATTTTTAAAATAAGTATATATTTCATATTATATTACTCTTATTATTTAAAACTTATTCTTTCAATTTGTCATTTCTTACGTAAATTCTCATTCAATTGATTTTTTTTTATTTTTTTATTTGTCAATAAACATGAATTTTTTATCTTCGTTTGAATTTTGAAATAAAATTTTAGAACATGATTATTTTCTCTTTTTGAAATTATAAATGATATAATTTATACGAGGAATTTTAAGAATATTTGAATAATAGCTTTGCATGTTATGCATGTGCACAAAGACTAACCATGTATAGTGTAAAAAAAAAATAATAATAAGAAAAAAAAGGAAATCATGTATTTTATTTGCTAGATCGTTATATAATCAAAATTTATTAAAAAAATTTGTAATAGTTTTTATTTTAATCCGTTAATTTCAAATTTATTCAATATATTACTTACACGTTAACTATTTTTTTCTTAAATAATTTTTGTTTTATGTTGCAAACTCTAAATCCACTCAATATTGTTACTATGTAAAATAATATATATTAAATTGGTGGTTTTATTAGAAATTAACTATACATCAACACAAAATACAAATCATTTGCTATTTATTTATTTATTTTTGGATATTATAAAATCAATTTCTTTCAAATTAAATAATTAAAAATATGTTTTTGTGAAACCAATGAATTATTCAAATCCAATTTTTTCTATTATAATATTGTTGATAATTTTATGAATAAATATATGAAAATCAAATGTACAAACTTTCAAAAACTAATATTTCCATCACTATTAAATAAATATCAAAATAATTTTTTTTCATTTGTTTATTTTTATGCAAGTTTTTACATCAATGATTACTTTGTTTTAATGACAAGTTCTTATAAAAAAAATATTATGGCTTTTTTTGTTTCATATTAATTTTTTTTAAAATTATTACAAGTTTTTAATTAATAATTCATGGATAAAAAAGAATAAATCATATTTTTTTTGTACAAAACTTATGAAAAACATGAGAAAGAATTAGTTCAATACAAAAATTTGATTAAAAAAATTATAAAATTGGATGATTTCTTTTTATTTTTTATTTAATATATTTTTACAAATTGATGATATAACGTAAATTATTAAATTGAAATGATTTTTAAAATTATTTCATATATTTTATTCTACTCGTAGCATAATGCGGTTAAAAAACTTGTTATTACTATAATATCGTGTGTTTATATTTTTAATTACATAATATATTACTGTATTTCTTAAATAAAGTCTATATGAGAATTTTTCCTTCATATATCATTATTAAAAAAATAAACAGTTTTCATAAAAATAATAAACAATAAACATAAAAAGGTTTTAAATTTTTATTTTTGAAAAAACAGAAATGGTTTTATTTATTTATTACCTGTAGCCTACACAGTCAATGGTTAATGTTGCTAATTAGTAGTTAGTGGGGCAAAAAGGTGTATTTCCACCACAAGAACTGAAATTAAATATGGTCTTTCATATGATTTATTTTTTTCAATGACAAAATTTGGTCTGTTTTACGCTGTATAAATAAATTGGGAACCGCAAGAAATAAAAAATTGAAAACATTCTCAGCTCTCTGTCATTCACTCCCGCGCTGTGCTGCTGCTCTTCGGTTAGCGCAACAACAGCAAGAAGAAGAGAATGAGTTGGAATTACCCACACATATCGTTAGAGGAAATGGTGAAACTAATAAAAGGGTTTGTAGATATAATGATTTTAGCATCGGGGTATCAATCCTCTGGTCTTTTAGCCCACTGGGACGCCCAAAACATCAAGAAAGCCATCCACTGGGGTTCCTTCTTCCAAAATGTAAGTTCCCACCATTTTTTCTTCCTTAAATCAATCTTACTTAATGTACAATTGAAGCCGTGTATGTATTAGTTCCTCTCTTCTTTGAAGGGCAGACAGAGCATTATTGTAAATTTTCTTCGTAATTACTATGATGTTTTAGGTACTTAAGCACATGAGTAGCTCAGATGTTTACCAGGAGTCAATTAAGGAACTTGATGCAACTATCTGTCAAATGAAATCAAATCCTTATTTCCCTCAGGTTGTGGATTTTTTCATTTTGAGTTAGTTTTATTATTTTTGACAAAATTTGATGTGATTGTAATAATATAGATATATCTGAATCTGATAAAGCAGGGTCTTGCAAATCTATCATGTGACACTCTGGGTAGGGGGAGGAGTTTTGCGTTAGCCCATTTGTTTCAGATTTTACCATTGAGGGATTCGAATCTCAAAGCTTTTTTAACTGCTGTAATTGAGATGGATCTTGATAGGATTTCAGAATCGGAGCATGACTGTCTAAGTGTGTATCTAAACAAGTTAAAGCTGCAGAGTGCTTCGCTTAACTTGGTTCTAGAAAGGAGGGGTTTTGAGAAGGATTCAATGGTTTTATCAGAAGAAGTTAGTCAAACTTTGAACGTTGGAAAATTCACTGATGATGACCTGACGGAGTTAACTCTTCAAGAAATCTTCAAGAGGCAGTCTGCAGTGTCATGCATAACGACAGTTGAGACAGGCTTAGATGTCCTCTCTAATGCTATCAGATGTAGTAATGGGACTGAATCTGATCATAGCTTATTTGAAGAACAACTAAAACTCAACAGAACTCCATCATCAGCGGGGTATGTACGGATTCATTTCCCTAACAGCGAAATAAGTGCATTTTGTTTCATCACTGACAATTATAAGCATAAAACCATGTAGGGCTCATTGTTTCCTGCAAATAAAGTTTGTTGACATTTCCTTACAACTATTTTACTCATGTTGATTGGTTCAATTGAGCAAGTAGTTGCTGCTAGTCTATAGAAATTTACTTTAAGGCCAAAACCAGAAACACTTTGGCTTTGTGTGCAGGGATACAGAACAGTTGGTTGATTTTGTCACGTGGAATAATTGGAAATCAAAGATGGTTTCTTATTTTCTTGATAAGAGAACCATTAAGTTGGTCTCAGGTGCGAGCATGATGTTTTCTGCCCCTAAGATGCAGTGGCTACAAGTGTTAGAACGGCTGACTACTTCAGTAGATTGCAAGGATGATGGTTTGAGTGAAATAATTGTAAGTTGGTTTAATTTTTGGAATTAAATACAAGGATGTAGTCTTGCTCAATTTTATGCACAACAATCACTTTGTTTGGTTCGTATCTTATAATATAATGGTTATTTGATCCGTAAGTTTTCAATATTTGAAGTATTAAGAATTCCATTGATTTAGGAATTCTCTTCTAGCTTTATGTGCGCGCTAAATTAACCATGCATGCATTGCAATACTATATTTCAGTGCTTAAATGGTTGAAAGCAGTGATGTCATCCAAACGCAACTGCACTTGTGCTACTTGAGTCATTTGGCTTGGTTTGTGATAATTGTTAGCTGTTCTCTTCTGGGTATCTTGCAATGACTACGTGTGAAGTCTCTCTCTCTCTCTCTCTCCCCTTTTGATGCTGTTTTAGGATGCTTGTGAAGGATTCTGAAATTTGCACAAACCCTAGCGGACCAGACCCGTTTTCATATGCATGTGTAAATGAGCATTGAAATAGAATGAGTGGGTTGATGCAGATATAAGGCCAAATTTTTATTAAGTTTTGGATCGGTGAAGCCATCCCTGAAAGTAAAGGATGTAAATGAGAATCGATATAGAATGAGGGGGTTAGTGCCAAAATAAGGTGAAATTTGGGTCAACTTTTGAACTTGTGAATCCATCCCTGAAAACTAGATTGTGCATTCCCTCTTATGTTTTTCTAGCTTACTCTTGCATGACTGAAAAACAAACTACTTTTTTGTTCTTATTACGTGAGCATATCATTGCTGTCATTAATATTGTGAACTGGCTGTGGGCAATTGAGATTGTAACTGGGTACCTGGAGTGGATGCTAATATTTTGCTGAATCGCTCAGTTTTGGTGATCTCCTTGATAGTGCATTTGAGTATCAGTACTCAAAATTGACCTTGGTTTTTAGGAAGTCCTTTTCTTTACCCTTGAGACAGGAACTCCTATTACTCGGATGCATTGAAAGCAAATGGAGTTGTCTAATTGAATATGCTACCTCAGTTTCATATGACTCCGTCACTATCTCAAAGCTATATTATGAAGTGTGCAGCTTACTTACTGGAAGATCTCAAGGTTTCCATTCCAATGACAGAGCAAAAGATTCAAAGGTGCTTGCTATACTTGAATTTGAACGAACCATATAGATATGTAAAACACACACACACATGCATTCTCATGAAGTGGTATCCCTTGACATGATGTGCAAGTTCTACTGCTACACAGTTTTATTACTTCCTATATTATAGTTCTACTGCCACACAGTTTTATTACTTCCTATATTATAGTCCTTCATATAAAATTTCCTTTTGCTATATGTAAAATTTCAAATTGATCTACAATTATGACACTTCATCTTAGAAAGTAGAATTTTTTTTATGCAGAATATGAATGAAATTTTTTAAGTAAACAAGACAAATGGATGGGATATCATACCTACTTTTGATTGATTTGAAATTTGGCAAGCTTGATGTATGGGGAAATATTGGACTAAATTGTTATATAGATCGAATTCTATGATGATTCCTGTCGTGTAAGAATAGCACCTCTTAGAAAGAGTGTCAGTCTGTGATCCCTATTAATAGTCATTTATGAGAGAAATCACTTTTTTTTTCTTTCTTAATATGGTGTCAGTTAGTCTTAGTTTTTAATTATTCTTGTTTGTTTATACATAAAAGATGGGTCTTTATGCTGCCTACCTTCCTTGATGAAGACTCCTCGGCTTGGAGGTATCATGGACATAATGCTCTAGTATTCATGGTTGTCTGCGTCTGGGCAGGCTGGTTGGAGTTGATTTTGAGCTAGGAACCTACTAATGGCCTGCACTATTTATGGCCTTGTTTGAGGATATTGTCTTGGTGGCCAAAGTTCGAAGCTAACCAAGGTGATTGTGCAGCTACACTTGATGACAGGTGCTGGATGCTTCATTTGGCTCGAGAGGGACAAAGTTCCGCACCTGTCTTTTTGCTGGTGTCCCCTTGAGCAAAATAATGAGCTGCATCAGGCATTTGTTGCTGGGATAGAAATTTTATGTAGAGGCTCATGATGCCTAGTGGAATGAACTTCCAAGGTTGCATGAGCATGGCTTTAAATGTCACACATGTATTTATCCTTTCTTTTGGTCTTTTGGAAACTATTGCAGAATTTGATGCACTAGGTTGAAGAAACAGTGTCATCTCTAAATCCACCTTTGTTATGCTTTCTTCCTATGCTGATTAGTTATTTATTTGCAATTGACTGGTGTTACATCCACTGCATAGCTCCACATCCTTTTTTCCTACGTTATATCATACATTTTGATTGATTTTAGTTGTGTATAGCAGGAAAATGATATTCTTGAGTATCTGGCCAGACTGCTGGGCGATCAACTTCCTCTATTGTGGAAACAGTCCCCTGTCCTTGCAGCAGTTGCAATCCCATTCTGGTATTCTTATAGCTTTTCTCTGCATTGTTTAGATGTTATGGGAATTGATTTGATTTTAGTTTACTTTTAGACTTGTTGTGGTTGCACAAGTTTCACTGCATTTGTGATTTCTATGAAATGATATATTCATGCAGTTACAATGGAGCTGTTTAATTCCTATGGCTCTCACATGTCTTTAACAAAAAGTGCTTCAAACTTCAATGGATGGAGTGATTGACATATGTCCATTTGCAATTAATGATACTGTGAATGGTATTGCAGGTCACCTCTGTTGAGATTGTATCTAAGTGAAGTAGAGACTCAATTCAAAGGAGATTCTTCAGTCGAGAGGTTTTGTGATTGCAGTTGCCTGTCTTCTCTGATTCTGAATTGAACTCTTTTGACACATATTTTCATAATTTTTTGTTAGCCGCTACTCTTTTTTTTTTTTTTTTTTTCAGATGCTGCAGCTGTATTCAAGGTAGGAAGCAGCACAGAGATTGTAAGTATATTCACCCCTTTCCTGTACACGCACAGACTTCCTGATCTTCTATGTAACTTTTAAATTTTAACTTTCATCTGCGAAGCTGAAGTTGGGAATCTTATGATAAATACTGCAGCATGAAGTTTGTTTTTAATTTTTATGTAATTGGTGTGTGATTATAAGAGGGAAATCTGTCAGATCTCTGTGTCAAAAATTGGAGCACCTGTCTGAAATTTAGATGGAATGGAGAGTTGTAGTTTTATAGAACAGTTATTTTATTTCATGCAGAGTGCATGCAGCTTCTCATCCTAATACTAGATAATTTGTGTAAAAATGACAGTTTGTTCTCTTGATAGAACTCAATGTAGAAACAGACAGGAATAGAGGAAAAAGGGTAGTCGACCTAAAATCCACTTGAAATCCAGACGGAGCACTTGATTCTTTGCTGTCGAAATCCAGTAGAACAAATAATTTTCTTAACTCATTTTTCATTCATAAAACAACCTCAAGCACAAACTATATGGGCAAAGCAAAATTATAAAAAACTCTTGATTAACAAAATCCCTTTTGAATAAAAAATATTGGATATTCCTAATAGTAGTAAATCCCCAAAAATTACAAACATCCTAAATAACAATCGAATTCCATAGTAATATAGGAAACTAAATAAACACAACTAATAAATTAATTGACAAAATTCCAGTTCTGACATTGCATTAACTTTTTGTGCTTATAATTTCCATTCATGCTGGGCAACAATGATGTTAATCCTAGAAACTAGCTAGTTGCTATTATTACAAGATTTTCAGAATTCAGATGAAGTCTTCTCCCTCAACCTTGTATGGTGCACAAGGATTTGCCACGTTACAGCGGGTACCATAATTGCTTATCATAACATTAGCACGGTTGTATTCATTTGCTGTTAAAAATGGTTATGTATAGGAGGTTTGTCAACCCCAATGATGCAGGACAGGGTAAGGGCTGTTCTGAATTATGGATAGATTTCTAGGAGTCACACCTAAGAGGGGATTGAGTCACACAATCAAAGCAAATTGACAAAATTATTTGATATTATTGCGTTGAAAAGTATTGAAAGACTAAATATTATATTTATAGAGTTGTGGAAGTCCGAATCCTACTAGGACATGGATTCCTAAACCTCCGATATAACTATTCCTATTTTGAATAGGAAAACCTAATAACTTTAGGACGAAGAAAATAAAATATTGTAATTTTCAGATTTTCTAAACAGATCTGAAAATTACCAAAATACCCTTATCAACTACTCAAGTTCGGACTGCTGCCAATGTGTCCCGTCATCCAACCACCGTGTGACTGAGAGGCAGTTGAGTCGTCATTACAACTTATAAACATTCTGTGTCTTGTAATTCTTATGACCTTTTCCTTTTCTGTAATCCATGTCTAAGCTTTATAGATCATAGAGGAATTTTCATTTAACATTTTATCTGCATCTTCTTGGAATTCTTATGGCCTTTTCTATTATTGTAATCCATGTCAAAGTTTTATAGTTCCTAGATGATTTTCATTTAATTAGTAACTGGACTTATGATTCGTGTGTAGGTGGACTCGCTGAGAGAATTTGGTGCCTTTACATCTTTCATGTTTTCGGCTCTCATGTTATGTATGGTGCCAATAGTGCTTGACAGGTGAGCGCGACCATGATGGTCATTGGTGAGAACCTTTGTTATGATGTCTTGCCAAGTGACAGATTTGCCTTCTTGTTCATCTTTGCATTGGAAAGATGACAGAATTTAGTTATTTTTTATAGCTAAAATTGTTCACAGATTTTTTGAGTAAAAATTTGAAGTGTTTTCAAAGACCTCATTTTAGCTCTCATGCTTTTTTCTATACTTTGATTTCATTATATATTATAGAAAAAAAGTGTTTTTAGAAGCACTGCAAAATTTGTGGTAAGTAAAAGAGACCTGTTTACTCACTGCAAATATGACCACAATAATCGTTGTTTTCTTCTATGGGTGCGTTGAAAATTTGGGTCTCATGAAAACAAGTACCTGATTAAAATCCCTTGAATGTTTTTGCCTTCATAAAATTTCCAACATATTAGCAAGTTCTGTAGAATCTTTTAGGTGTGCTGTTTTTTTCTGTTTCCTTTACAATGTAGACACAGCTCCTGAAATGGGTTTCACTCATCTCTTCTTCAGTCTTTTCAATTACCAAGTGATTTGAGTTGTGAATCATGATTTTCTGCATTGAATAATGATTGGATCAGTGATCGTAATGAACCAAACTGAGTTCAACCTCTTGTGGATTTTTCTGCTATTGAGTGGTTTGTTTGTTTCCGTATGACTGTATCTAATAACTCTAATACCTGTTCTAAGTACCAAGATATGATTTGTTATTTTGGACTGTGGGAGTCCGTATTGGGAAGTATATTGTGATTACGTATTTGAGTAGCTCTTCTCTAGATGGCATGTTATCGTCTTTCTTAAATTTGTATGTTTAATCATTTCTTTCCAGTCACTTGATCCTTTAGTCCACGAGTTGCTTAGATAAGAAAGAAATATTTATCAATATAAGGTGACGTGATATTATTCCTATTCTATCTTCCTGACAAAATATATTTCACATCTTTGTGGACCCCTTTTTTTTTTGTTCGTTTATAGTATGATCAAATTGTGAATGGACATAAGCCTGAAAGTTCTCAACATGGACATAGGTGATTATATTGGGTCCCTCTCACTCTTTAGGTATGGACGGTGTGAACTTATTCTAGAGAACCTTATCTTACTTTTTCCTGATGCTTCCCAGGAAAGTTAACCAACTAGGAGTAAAACAAAAGGAAAACCAGAAAGAATAAAAACTAGCTAGTCTTTTTTTTTTTTTTTTTTTTTTTGTGAGACAGGCCAATGTGAAAAGTGCTGTCACTGTTGACATTGCATCACTAGCTGCAAGTCTCAATCCTTGCTCCAAGTTGGGACTGATATGACCATAGATACTGGTAAAGCAATGTTGAATGGTCTATTGATAATGTTATTTTTTTGACCGCACTAATGAGAGAGTGACACTCAATATGTCATTGATAGTGCCACCTGTTAGTGGGAATCGATACTTGAAAGCTCAACTTGTGCTTTTCTTTTTAACTCATCCTACTTCGAGTGTTTCACTTCGCTTGGTTACAAGGTCGTCTTGGATTAATTCGCAGCTAGAGTGAAGGTGGAAGGAAGCATGAAAGCTTTAAGCTTACAAAGCATGAAGAGAATCCAGTTCTTGAAGTGGGGGAGCAGAATTTCAAGCACCGGGCCTGCAGTTACACTTGTTAGTGTGAAAAGAAGAGTGCCATTTGGTCGCCACTGTGGATCATCTTTCTTAATGCAGCTATTTTGGAAGTTCAGGACTCAATGGAAGCAAGCTTTTGGGTGGCAGAGGAGCAGGGCACAGTGCAGCTATGATCTTTACAGCTACTCTCTTAACTTTGATGATGGTCTCTGCCATGAGTCTTGAGCAACTCTAACGGAATGTTTCTGAATCAAATTTTGCCTTCGGCAACATTTAACCTGACGGTTCGCAGCCGCTTCAAAAGCCTTTTGGGGCACACAAATAAGGTTTCTTAAGAATTGGGGGTATTATCGTGATTCATTCATTCTCCAACAGCTGTTATTATTGTTTTACTTATGCTACTTGCTTGTTGGAACCTGTATTCCGACAGATTGTATATTCTTTTTGAGGTGAGCTATGTCTTTTCATCCCCTCGCACCAGGTTAAAACTATCATGTTTCTTTTTGTAAAACTTTATTTTTAAATGCGAATACTGATTAAGCTGCTTTTTACTTGGATGTTTCTTATGGTTGCTAAGAAGTGAAGAGAAACATCTAACATTTTCTGAGGATGCAATCTTATAATGAAGCCTAATTCCCTGGATTTGAATGATATAATTGTATCCTGAATTTGTTGCTTAAATCTTCAAACTTTCTTTGTATTTTTGTGGAAGCTGCAATCCTTATGGGACAGCACATTCGATATTCCTTAGACATTCAATGTGTAGATTGGATTGAAGCGTATTTATTCTTCGTTAATAGAGTCACTTAATCACCACTTGCATTGAGACATGTTTTCTAAGGTTGTCATTTCATACCTCCAAATTGGTCGCTAGAGATGTGAAGAAAACAAGCAACAACCTAGTCCTTGATTTTATGCAATAGAAATAACATTGGATAAACTTCATTTATTAATATTTCACTTCCCCTCTTATAGTTTAAACTATCTCTATGTTATCCTTCTAGTTTACATAAAGGTCCAATATTACCCCTAACCATTAAAAAACTTTTTTTTAAAAGCTTTTGGTTTTATTTTATAACACTTGCTAGGATTTGAAAAAAAAAAAAAAAAAAACTAAAACAAGAATACATAAGTAGACATAGCCTTATAATTGTGTATCTAGATAGCTTTTTTTGAAAAAAATAAAAATACACGAGTAGACAGCATTAAAATGTTTATAATACAAATTATAATATTTTATAAATTAAAATAAGCATAATTAAGGATTGACATTCTAATTTTGTAAAAAAAAAGTTTTTTTCGAAGAAATTAAAAATTAGAAAGATTTATATATATATATATATATATATATATATATATATATATATATATATATATATATATATCGGAATGTCAAAACGATGTCATATTGACATTTCAATAACGGTCAACCGAGTTGACAATCAACAATTACATATAATGATAATTAGGAAAATTTGATGAATTTTGTTCAAAAATCAATAATTTGAGATTTAAGTCACATAATTTGATACTAAAGAGAAACATGAACAAATCATAATATAATAGAGATAAAATTTACTATTAAATCTTTTTCTTAGTGAAGTAAATTTGGATTTGATGATTTTAATTTACTTGATTATTATACTATAAGAAATGATTATTTTTAATTATGTGGTGCAAAATCAACGAACCTTCTGGTAAATAAAATAAAGATAAAGACAAAGATAAAGATATGAGTAAATGTAAGTTTTTTTTTTAATTATTTAGTACTAATAGGTAAAATGGAAACTTTCCAAAAACTATAAGGGTAAAATTGTGATATTCTAAACTTTAAGAAAAAAGTTTACCCAACAATATTTGTATCATCACCGAGGCACCTACCACTGAGATTTTGTCGTTAAATTCAACGGGCAGAGAGATGATGCAGATTAATTAATCGTGGGGCCACCAAAATGGTACCATCCGTTACTTGTTCTTTCTTCTAACCGAAAAACAAAACATAGATCATGATATCCACTGCGACTTTTACTATTTAAAAAGTTAATCGGAGCCGAACCACAGTAATCTTATTTTTTAAATTTATATTATGATAAAAGTTGTTATTACTTTATTATTAGTATAGCTTGAGCAAACCAAACTAAATCCTTTTTTCCGCGCCATTTTAAAGACATAATTTTCATATCGGGCTGATATTTTTAAAAGAACACATTTTTTTATATAAAATAAATAATTTAATCTATTTTTATATAATAACTTGAATTTTTAATTTGTTTTTATGTTTTTAATTACATAATTTATGTTATCGAATAATATGTTAAGTTTCAAATATGTTATTCTAATCGATTTTTCTAACAATAAGTAATTTTTTTTATGAAAATATTTTTTATCGAAAAGTTAAAAAAAAAATCATTTAAAATCACATGACATTCATGTTCAATTTTTTATTTTATTTTTTTGCACAATTATAAATATTTCAGAAAAAAATTTGCTCATAATAAAAAAAATTAATAAGAATGAAAAATTAAAAACTTATAAATTATTTAAAAATATAATATATATAATTAGAAATGTAAAAATAAATTATAGGCTCCGACTATTAAATAATAAGAAAGGATTGAACTATTAATCCTTTTTATATATTAGTTTCAGGATTCAAACTCCAAGCGCCACCGAACCTTCACTTTTGAATTAAGAGTAAATTATAAATTAGTCCCTCTAGTTATAATAATAATTAAATTAGTCCCTTTTGTTTTAAAAACTATTATTTGATCATTTAATCAGTGTTTAACATGTTTAATTTAATATTATTTTTATTTTATAAAATATATAATTTTCTAATAATCTTCCCATATTTTTTTATTTTTTTATTTCTTGAAACAAAAAAAATCAAAATAAATTTAAAAGAACAAAAGGACAACATTACAAATAAATTTCAAAATATAAGGACTAAATATTATTTTTTGAAATAAAAGGGACTTGTTCTAGAAACAAGAGGGACTATAATTTACTCTTTGAATTAGACATCATAATCCTACAACATAACGCGGGGGGAGAGTGAGGGAGATCCTCTTCCATCAATATATATATATATATATATTATTTATTTATTCAAAGGAACCAATTTTGTTAAGCTTGCTATGAACTACATTATTATTTATTATTACTTTCCCTTCAGCTATGCAATATTCCTATTCGAGACCTCACTTTCTTCTCAATCGATGTCGTAGTCATCACAGTTTAGGATGACAATGCAACAGTTCCTGTTCCTTTCTCGCCATTGCTGTCCAGCCTTGTACTAACTTCAGATCATATCCTCCTGCTGGAACAGCACAGATTAATCCCATCCAAAGCTGTAATGAAATTGACAATGACTTCTTCCTCTCAGAACTGATTGGAATCATAATATCTCTAATAATTTTGGGCCCTAAAAAGAAAACATCCTTCCCAATTTCCAACAATATGGAAATCATTTTGTCGAAAAAATCAAGTTCAATTATGTCTGGGTCTTGCATGAATTATATTTCTTCGGCCAAATTGAGAGTATGAAGAAAGCAACGATAATACTCATAGTCATGAAGAAAAAAATAAACGCAGCAATAATCCATTGTAAACAAGACTTAGAGAGGGCAAAAAAGAAAACGACATCCTACCTCAAAAGAAGCAAAAAGATAAATCCGAGTTTGGCGGCATTAAGGGTGGTACTAATTATGTTCTGGAATGCCCATGAAGAAATAATTGAGGTTTTTCTTTCCATAATAACCAGTATTTTTGAATTAGTTTGTGTATAAATTTTCAGATGTTCCTAAAAGATCATTTCTGATGTCAACTTTCTTTAGATCTTGGTTTCAAAGTTGAAATTAAAGATTAATTGTTGAGTATGTTTTCACGTAATAAAATATTTTTTTTAATATGTATAACCTGTCTTTATATTCTTAATAGAATAAATTATATCCTTTGAGTTTATAATCTATTATTTTTACAAGATTTTCATGACAAATTATTAAAATTAATTATTTGATTTGTATATGATTATTTTTTATTTTTAATATGTTCTTGCAAGCCCAATAAGGGTTTTCGAATGCAAATTATGTAAGTATTCTAGTATTTTGGACTGATAATTTTATGAAAAATAAAAACTTAACTTATATCTAAAAATAAATTTAGTTTAATTAAACATATAAGAATATAAGAATAGGTTGAAGAGTTATTTATCTAAGGAGATATTGAACTATCAATTTTGAAATTAAAGAAGCAAAATATGATGACAAAAGATTGAATGTGGACTTCCAGAATTCACACATACATCATACATGGCATGAAATCTCATTTCTCTCTCTCTCTCTTTCATTTTTTTTATCCCCTCCATGATATTGTGAATTGAAATAATAAATAATCCCAAATTTGAATAATTCACAAACTCATGAACTATTATCTCCTATCCATCCATTTAGATTTACGGTCATACTTAATTTGATGGATTTTTAGTGATGGGTACTACAGAAAAAAACAAGAAAGCCATATAAACTAATTAAATCGAAATACATACACAGAATTCAGACAAGGTCACATGAGAGGATAGACAATAAGCTGTGAAGCATAAAATTGCTTCTGTCATTTGTCATTTGTCTTTGATTGAATGATCAAATTAAATAATAACCAACTTTAGAATAATTATGCCATATGATTTTCAAAGCTAGAACAGGTCACACATACCCCACACCCCACACCCCATGTGACCCTTTATGTTCCCCCCATGATCAGCTCTCCAAAGTCCAAATTCAATCACCCTCCCCACTTTCTCTGTGCAAGAAATGGCAAGAAATTTGGTGTTCATACTGGCTTTGACAAGCCTATGCATTGGCTTAGCGGCTGCAGATTGGAATATTTTGAACAAAAAATTGAAAAATGGGGCTGCCTCTAGATTGAAGAATTACTGTGAGAGTTGGAGGATCAATGTAGAGCTAAACAATATCAAGGAGTTTGAGGTGGTGCCACAAGAATGTGTAGATTACATCAAACATTACATGACATCGTCTCAGTACAGAGCAGATTCCGAGAGAGCCATCGAGGAAGTCAGGCTTTACCTGAGCAGTTGCTGTACTTTGGAAGGTGATGGTAAAGATGCTTGGATTTTTGATGTTGATGACACTCTTTTGTCCACCATTCCTTACTTCAAGAAACATGGTTTTGGGTGAGTTTGTTTATTAATTTACTGGATCATATATTTCTTTTCTTGCCACAATTTTCAAATTTTGGTGTTTTATCTTCTGAAATGATTCAGAATTCTAGTCCATTGCCCTTGTACATAATCATGACATTGCATTCAGCATTTTGTACGCAAGGATTCAGATCAGATCAGATCAGATGGGCTAGCGCTTTAATTTATATAGCTTTTGGTGGGTCGTTTTTTATGTTGTCTCCAAGTTTACTTCCAAGGCTCTTGGTCCATTTCTGGGTTCAGATCAAAATATGGGGTGGGTATTTATGGGCTAGCTCACCTACACCAGCCTTTTCTAAATGAATGATGAGTGTGACAAAATCCTATATTTTTTCATCTCTTCATCTTGTTTTTATTTTGTTTTTAAAAGAACTTCTCCACCTCTCCCTGTTACTTCAATCTCGTACATCTGAACTTTGTACTGGAAGAACCTTATCATTACATTTTATTGTCATGACGAATCAGTCATTAATGCAATTTGGGTTGTGAAATGGAAACAAAACCAGGGGAGAGAAGCTTAATGCAACCTTATTGGAATCATGGATGGAACAAAGCAAAGCACCAGCTCTAGCCCATACGCTCAAGCTCTTCCATGAGATCAGAGACAAAGGGGTCAAAATCTTTCTTATTTCCTCCAGAATTGAGACCCTTAGATCAGCCACTGTCGATAATCTTATCAATGTTGGATATCATGGATGGTCTAGTCTCATTTTAAGGTACATTACATCCTCTATATATTTACCCTATTATATATATATATATGTGTGTGTGTGTGTGTGTGTGTAGGCTGGAGTGGTGGAGAAAATTTCAAGGGGCTAAGCAAACGAGCATTAATCCACCATTTTCATTTTCTTGCATTTGCTGTATAATAAATGCAGGGGTCTTGAAGATGATTTCATGAAAGTGCAACAATACAAATCCGAGGCAAGGAAAAGATTGACGAAAGAAGGTTACCGCATCTGGGGAATCATAGGAGATCAGTGGAGCAGCGTGGAGGGACTTCCTGCTGCAAAAAGAACATTCAAGTTGCCAAATTCCATTTACTACCTTTCCTAAAGCTTCCACTACCACCAAAGACATGATATTATTATTGTTATTCAAAATGCATCCTAATTAATGACACTTTCAATATTTGTTCAATGGAGCATGCATGATCATTGTTGTTTTGGTTAATCAGTTGATTTCTGCTGCAAGAATCCAATGATAATTAAAAGTTATATTTATTTGGGACAACAAAGATACAAAAACTATATGTGAAAAGAACTTTGCAGATCTCTCTCTTTTTTTTTTTTTTTTTCCTCCTTTCAGCAAAGGAAATATGCTTGAGAATAAGGAAGCAGGCGTTGATGCTTCATACACTGAAAGGGTAGGTCTAGTTATTGTCAAATTTCACCTCCACTAACAAATAAAGTCATGCTAGATTGACAAAGAATATTCATTCACAGAGGGCTAAAAGTAGCATAGTATTATCCATTATATATGCATTGAAGGCGTAGCAAATCATAACATAACATGTGTTCAAAATTATGCAAAATTTGCCATGTCCAATTTGCCCATCAAGTTGTGCATGTCTTTTGATGGAGAAATGAGTTGTTTCATGACCTAATCCATCTTATTGTGAAATCAATTATACATATGAATTATCTTTTTCATGTGTAGCTTGGTGGTATATAATTTTGCAAAACATGATGGATGGGAACTCAGTAAGTCCTTTATTTGAGGCTCATGCTGCATGTTTTTTACCCAAAAAAAATAAAATAAAATTAATGGTTTAATCTATTGTTATGTAATAAGATATTTTTTCAATATATTTTTCATATTTCTAATTAAATTAATTTTATAATTTAATCAATATTAAGTTTTAAATATATATATATATATATTTTTTAGCAAGATTTTTAAATTAAACTATTGAACTTATTTTATAATTTGCAAATAAAAGTCTTCTCTTTATCTTGCTGGTAAATGCATTTTGAGAGGAGTCATATGCAACTTACATAATTAATTTTAGTGACTTTGCTTAAAAATCTTGTAAAATTAATAGATTAGAAACTTAATATTTATTAAAGAATAAAATTAACTTTATTAGATATACAAGTACATGTCGAAAATAAATGAAAATCAATGGGGGCAGATCCTTAGCAAAGGTGGAACTTGTGTTGTTGAGTGATAGGAGGCATCTGTCACTCATTTCACGGGACATTATGGGATCAGTTTGTTGGCACATTTTGGTGTGAGATGTAATCAACTTCCATCTGAATTTATGGACGCTCAGATGCGGTAGCTCATTTGCTAACCTGCCATAATGAGTAAATTATAAATTAACCTCTCTAGTTTTTCAAAATAAATTACATAGTCCTTCTAGTTTTATAAATTATTAATCAGTCTTTATTTTTAAAATTTATTTATAACTTAATCATTTTCGTTTTTTTAATTTTTTTATAAAAAAATAGGAAATCATTTAATTTGCTGCCTAAAAATCATTTGACATCTGTCCGAACAACCCATCCATCCTTAGACATGTATCAAATAGAATGTTCCATGGATCATTCCTTTGTTCGGAATAAATTACAAATTAATCCCTCTTGTTTTGAAAAATAATAAACTAATCCTTTTTAGAAAATAATTATTTTTTTTGATAATTTTATATTTTTTTCTAATTTATTTTTTAAAAAATAGATATTATACAACTACTGATTGAGAAAAAGAAAAATATTTTTATTTAAATAAAATAATATTAAACTCAACATGATCAATACCACGTAATAATTAATCAATTATTTTTTAAAATAAGAAGAATTAATTAATTTATGTCTCAAAACTAAAGAGAATAATTTATAATTTACTCTTTCAGGCCTAAAAATAGTTATAAATAAATAAATAAAATAAGTTTTTTTCTTTTTCTTTTTTTTAAAGCAAATTGGCCTTTTAGGAGACTCAAGGAACGTAAAAACTGAGGGGGCCAAAAAGAAAAAAAAAGAAAAAGAAAAAGTCTAGTAATCATACGCTAAATACAATCCCCACGTGCAACCCATCAGATATTTCACATCACGAACCTGGTCCCACACACCAACACATGGTACGCAAACTGTTACACCCACCATCTCCATGGAGTTTATTCCACACGCGCTTTGTTTAGCGCGTGGAGATATTCACTGTTCCTTATTAACAGAGAGCCAAAAAGGGGAAGGGCCAAAGAGAGCATAGCGCACTCTCTGTCACCGTTCACTTCTTTGGGTGACACGCCGGTGACCGAATTTTAGACAACAGCCCGCCTGTCTCTTTACAGAATTGTTTCTGTGCTAAAAGACTCGATTTTGAACCATTTGGGGTTTTCATATGGTGAGGTTTCTATGAAGTTGTAGGTGAGAATTTTACATATTCCCCCATTTTGATAAAAAAAAATTTTTTGATGGAATTTGAAGCTAATTTTGTTGTTTTTTTTCGTAATAAATACTTGATTAATTGAATATTTGGTGCTTTTCTTGAATTGGGTTATCTTTCTTATCTTTAATGAGAGTTTGGTGTTTTTATGATGATGCATGGCTTGATACTCAGATCAATTTTCGTTGATTAGACTTGGTTTAGTTGATGTTCTATGATAATTGGTTTGCATCATGTGGTGCATGGATTTATTTTTTTTTGTATTTCTGCTTTGGATTGTTGTTGTTTTTTTTTATGTTTTGTTTCGTTTTTGTTTTTTTGTTTTTTTGAGCTTAATATTGTTGAATTCATGAATTCTTAGTGAAATGGCAAAAAAGATATTAGTTTAGTGGGTCCCAGATAAAGTTGAATTGAAGCTAAGGATATGGACTTTGATAAGGTTGGATGCTGAATAATTTACCAATGGAATGAAGTTAGCTGGACTTAACTGACCAAGGAGAAGCATTAGGTTATTCGATGTCAGGCTGACAAGGGTGTTAGGATCGATGCAAAATGCATAGCTCAGGGTGGTCATTGATTGGAAGTAAGGATACATGGCATTTAGCTTGGTTAGGGTTTTGTGTTAGTGGGCAAGCAGTTTGTTTGATGCAGTTGGTAGGCCTAGAGATGCTGGAGAGAATTTAGCTGAACACTGAAAGTATGAATTTTATGGTGCTAAATGGTGTTGGAGAAAAAGCACATTCTGGAAGTGGGTTTGCAATATCATAATTATGGTTTGCTAAACAACTCTTCATTTTAGTCAATTTTGCTATTGCAGTACCAATTGGAAGGATTGCCTGCAGGTTGGGGGTGGGGTGGGTTTACCGATAGGCAGAGCCTTATACTTCAAGAATCCTTGTACTTCTTCTATGACGACTGGGATAGTTTCCTTTAATTCGTGATGGCCAACATGAGGATTATTTACTTCTTGTCGTTTGTTATAATCATACCCTATCTATCCTTCAACAATTTTGCATGAACTAGATGCTCTCATACCTTGAACAATCAAGCCTGCCAAAATTTTCAACATGACAACCTATTGGCTCATGGTTGCGACCACTAGAATTTAGTATTATGCTAGACAATGGCCCTGCATCTATTATATTATACAAAGTTTTTATGAGTGTTAGGGATGAGAATTTGAATCATCATTATTAATAGTTTTATTTTCAGGCTTGTCTTTCTTTTGGTTTGTTTCGATTTTCAGATAACAGTTTAGGGACTGCAGAATTTGGTGAAATCTAAATCATTTAGGGCCTTTATTTAATCATTATGTTCTGAAAACCAACCTTATATGTTCTTGCTACGTCTGCTAAACATTTAGGTCATTATAGTTCACTGTAGCTTTCATACTTCTGACTATTTTCCCAGAATGAGCATTTCAACTCTGCTCTGTTAGTAACATTTTATGCCCGTAACTGAATGTAGTGTGAAGTTTGGAGACGGACTGACGTCTTGAGGAGCTGGTCAATTATGAGTGGGATAAAGGAATTAGAAATAGGGAATATTGGAAATGATGTGGGTAGCTAGAACTTTCTTCTGAGAAAAGAATAAAAAAAAAGATTGCCGTGGATATAGGTGGACTTATATGAGGTTTAGAAAAAATGGTGATCATAGCCATGAGTATCTCTATATTCCATTTTGATAGCATCGTGTACTTATTTCTGTTGACAAATGTGTAAATTGATGACCTTTCTAGTGTCCCAATATTGTGAACAAATAAGAAGGTTGCTTTAAGAAGGTATTCACTTGGTTGCCTAAATGTGAAACTGGTATGCATTGACTGAATAACTGATACCTACTCTTTGTGCTCATCGAAGGAAAGCAATGGAGGCACGCCCAGCTTTAACTGTTCAGAGAGCAGGTGCTAAGCAGCTTGGTAACCTTGGGTTGTCTGGAGCACTGTCTTCATCTTTGCCAGTGGTTCCAACACCTGTAGAAGAGGCATACCCCAAGTTACAAGGCTGTCAACAGGTTTCAATGGAAAGGGAGCCTATGACAAGGCCCCTTGTACATGCAAGTCATTTGCCCACTAACAATGAAGTAGTTGGTCACATATTTTCTTCTTCTGCTGGATTCTCAACAGACCTTCAGTACTCTTCTGTCTCACCCCCAGAGAAATATTCAAGGAATACTCCCTTTATTTCTCAGTCATCAGCAAATGCAGCAGCTTTGCCGATGTCACAATCTTCTCCATCAGGATTACTTCAATCTACAACATCAAGTCATTATACTAATGAAAACAGCGCTTCGTGGTGTCCAGAGTCATTGCCGGGTTTTCTTGACTTTCCCGTAAACAATACTGTTCATAATAATCAAATAGAAAGCAATAGTTGTACTGGTGTCATGGCATCTGAAGAATTTGGTAAACGAAATGATTGGCAGGAATGGGCAGACCAGCTAATTACTGATGATGATGCTTTGACAACTAATTGGAATGAGCTTCTGGCTGACACCAGTATTGCAGACGTGGAACCAAAGGTTGGTGTCTTCTCACAGCATAAAACAAATAAGATACCCTTGCAAAATATGGTGAAATATTCTTCTATGCTTTATACTTTCTCCTGTTCTCATCTTGTTTCTTCAGATGGCATACCAGGTCTCCAAACCATCTTCAATTACTCCAGTACAACACTCCCCAGTTCATCTGCAGATTCCAGCCCCATCTGCAGAAATTCGCCCAGTTCTCACCCACACTTCCTCAGCAAATAGTGCCCCAACCAAGCCACGCATGCGTTGGACACCAGAACTTCATGAAGCTTTTGTGGAGGCTGTCAACCAGCTTGGTGGTAGTGAAAGTATGGAACTATCCTTGCCTTAACTGATTGTTGGCCTAAAATTTCCAGGCTTCTGCTTCAATTGATTTCTTTTTTCTCTTATGCACAGGAGCTACTCCAAAAGGCGTGCTGAAGCTGATGAAAGTTGAGAGTTTGACTATTTATCATGTAAAAAGCCACTTGCAGGTATGTACCGTTGTTTCTTTGAAAATGAGGCTAGTTTTCTGCATCAACATCATTTTCTTGTGTGTTATGGATTCAGACTGTTATTTTTGTTTTTAATTGGAGAATATGCTTCGTTGAATATCAGAAATACCGAACAGCCAGATACAGGCCAGAGTCATCAGAAGGTATGTAATAACTCATCAGTGACTCCACGACTTAATGTTTCCCTGAATTTTTTTTGTTGGTAATCGACCTTAGATTTTCAAACCTGTATGAGAGGGAGGAGGTTGCATTTTAGCTCCTTTTATTGCTCATCTTCACTCATAAGCCCGAGTCTTAAGCCTCACTATGCAAACTTGTGACAATGTGTTAATTTATGACACATACCCCTGTTTAATTTCTCCTTTTCATTTTAGTCAACCTTGATCTAGTCTTTCCACAAAAGTATGATCATGATGTGCATGCTATTTGTTTCTTTGAGCCTTTCTGTGATTTTAGTCAGTTGCTTTACTGCCTATCTACAAAGAAGGAATTATTATACATTTTCTGGTTATTTTTTGTGGCTCGAAAATCTTGTTTTCAAGGCTTCGGTTGAGTATTCTAAACCTAAGATCTCTAAATTAACTTCACCACATTATATTTATGCATGGAGCTACTGATCTAATTTTCTATCTGCCCAATGCCATTTGCCTATCACTTACATCTAATTGTCATGGTTCTATTACCCAAATTTCCTGTGACCATCTTTTTTCTCCCTCAGATTTTTTGTTGCTGCTGCAGATTTCTTCACTGGTTTTACTGTATGGATCAAAACATGTATAAGGAATTTCCTATTTATATATTTTTAAATGGGCTGTTCTATTTTTCTTGCAGGATCCTCAGAGAAAAGGTTGACTCCTATTGATGACATATCATCTCTTGACTTGAAAACGTAAGTCTATATCATTTATTAATTTTTATTCTCTTAGTGTATGGTCAGCTGTTATTTATTCTTTGGCTTTGAGGGACTGTGATCTTGACAAAGGACAAGAAAGAGAAGAAATTCTACAGTTTAAACATTAGACTAATTGTAATATTCTAAACACATAAAGGAGAAATAAGAGATTACTAGCTTCCGAGGTGGCAAGGTGTTGTGGCAATGAGCTATTCTTGCTTTACTTTGGTACTTTTGGAATGAGCACAAGTCTAGGATATTTCAGGATAAGCATCTACTATTCCTGTTGCTTTTAAATAAAATAGTTTTTCTAGCTTCATTGTGGTGTTCTACAACTGATATATGTAGAGACATCACTTTAGCAGATATGCGAAGAGATAGGAGGATGTCTTATCCTCCATTTTGTCCTCTTCCTCTCTTTATTAAAAAATTTCTTTTTCTATCATAAAAGAAAAAAGAGAGACTACTAGCGTCTTACCATTAATTCTAGAGAAAAGAAAGCATCACATGATCAATGATTTGAATTCAAACATAAAAAATCATCAACATTTTCTAAATTTAAAAATGCCTTCTCCTTCAAAGATTACAGGGCTATACATAGAGTTCTTGATATCATTACTTAATAAGGATTTAGACTCGTAAATAAGGAAACAGAACTATTCATGTACTATAAAAGAACTTCAACAACATTCATTGATTTAAAACCCTAAAATGTAAAATAGAAACCTAGACCTGCCGATTTTCAGAATTTCCAACACGTCCAAAAACAAAATCACTCTGCTTGTTGGCTTGCATAGAAACAGATAAATGTGATGTTCTTGTTGGGCTTCACTCTGCATGATGCCATCTTTGTCCCTCAGTAATTCTATTTGGCAGGAATGCTAAACTTGTGAGTTTTAAATTACTAGCCTGCTTTTTAGTTTCTTCTTAAAGATTTATGCATTTGGAAAGTAAGGAGAATAACTTTCTGCATGATAACAAAACTTGCTTATGGATTCCGCAACAACTATAATTCTCTTGTCTTTCCCTTTTGAGTAGGTTGACTGAGGAGCCTGGTTCACCTACCACACAAGGATTGGGTTTTAAACTATATAATTCATGGGTTTCCTGAAACCTAAAGTCAACTATTACATTTGATTTTGAGGTGGCTCTTCTAACATCACAAGTTGTTTTGTTGTTTTACGGTCTCATTTTCTGCTGCCATCTAGTTACTGACTACAGGCTGTCATTTATTGATGAAAAGACCTAGCAATAAAAAATAACTTGGAAGGTATTTGGTAGGTTATTTGACTGACTGGGAGATTCAAGTAGCTCTGAAAGGGATTTGGCTAGGTTAAAGACTTGGTTAATGCCCTTTTAATCTGCATATGGTGTCTCAGACCATGGTATGGTTATAACCTAGAAGTGCCTCTTAAAAGGATTTCTATTTTGGGAAAAGAGCTGCATATTTAAATTATTCAATCTTCTGCATGAAGGTCTCTATGACGTGTTCTTTTTTATTTTGTATTATCCTGCTAAACTTTTTCTATTTTATGTTGGACAACAGAGGCATTGAGATCACTGAAGCTCTACGGTTACAGATGGAAGTTCAGAAACGACTGCACGAACAGCTTGAGGTATAATTTTCCTCAAAAAAGGATCCATGTTTTGATATGATTAGTGGTTTTGACTTTAAAACCTCAAAAAATTAGGTTCAATGGCCTGATTTGGCAGCTATAACCAGATGGTTGCTGCACAAAATATTTATAGAGCAGTAGAGGTCCTGGATGGTTTAAGAGATGCTTGCAAAATCCTTGACATCCATTTGGTTTGTTGGCTGGGCTGGGGATGGGACTGTCTCGAGATTGTTTTCCATAATATAACAAAATATTCATAACAAGGGTTCTTTTTGTTGTACGTGGAAAATTGGTTGTCTTGATTTTCTTCTATAAACTGTTTGAAAAACCAAACCATCACCACAAAGGCACTACTGGAAAGAGAAAAAAGAGCAAGGAACTGTTATCTGAAAATGGAGGAATCTTTGTTTCCTGTAGATTGAGAGTGAGAGATTGCACTAGAAGTTGCTAGACCAAGTGAGGGATCTTCGTTTCATGTTAACAATGCATTTACTTCATAAGAGTAATAAACGTCCGCAGCTTTTCAGTTTGCTAGACCATGAAAACATTTATGATTATCCATATATTCTTGTTGGTATCCATACTTCAATGATGTAAAGAAGCTCCATGAAATTCTCTTTAGTGGTTACCGGCATTTAAGATTTGTATATATGCATTCTTTCATTAGAAAACATGATTTCTTTATAATGCAATTACTTTACTTCTATTGTGCAGCAAAGTATATAATACCTGGAGCCAAGAAAATGACTCTTCCTTAGTGAGCTATGTTTTAGGACTTGGCTTTACAAGTTATTGCTCCCATATCCAACTTACATATGCTATGTGGTGAACTTGTCTAATATAGAACGTACCAGTCACACAGTAAGTGGTTCGGCACCATGGAGTGTGTAATGTGTGGCATAGTTAGTGGTTCAGTTTATTGGAGTGCTTTGTGCAGTCTGCACATAAGTAGATATTATCCTTACTGTATGCATCATGTCATACACACATGAAGACATACTTCAGGTTTTGTGTATGATTTGTAGTGCAGCTTTTGTAATTTGTATCCATCTTTCTGGCAGATCCAACGAAATTTACAGTTACGAATAGAAGAACAGGGGAGGTACCTCCAAATGATGTTCGAGAAACAATGCAATTCAGGTATTGACATTGACAAGTTGAAGGCAGCTTCATCTGCTTTGGAAAATCCCTCTACTCTGTCTTCAGATCCAATCCAAGACTCCCCTGCCAAAAATGCATTGGAAACCCCCCAGGTAGACTGTGGCAAGACACCAATTGACACAATTAATAGCAACCCTGCACTAGAAGGAAGTTCAAAAGATCTGAATGGAAAGCATAAGGCATCGCAAACTGAAGCTCCTGAAAATTCTGAGCCATGTAATACCGATTCAAGTTTGCAGCCTGCAAAACGTTCAAGAGCAGATGCCTAGGCCATCATCGTTGAACTAACAGGGCACAGAAGAGTTTAATCTTGAGTAGGACAGACTTAGTTGACTTATAAAGAGAGCTTGAGAACATTGAGGTCCCCTTGCTTCTGTTTATATGCCTCATGCAACTGCTAATGCACTCTATTTAGTCCGTAAAGAAGGTTGATGGGAGAGTTTTGATCATGATCTTCGACCTCCTGACTTGTACTTAATTTATTTATGAGGCTAGAGGGTGTATAATTATTGTGTAAAACCCCTTTGATTAATGGCAGAGAATGGACTCCCCTTTCTGGGTTAAATTGGTGTCTCCTTTTGTTTAGCTACTAACAACCTTCTAGCTCATGCTTGGGAACTGGCAGCATCAGTTTTGGCTAACATCAGTGCTTACAGCCCTGGCCACTGCTTAGATTGAAATTTGTAGGAAAGGTAAAGAAAGCTGTTCTGGTTTTGATGCGCAGCCATGTGGATTAAGCACTGGAGACAACCTTTCATGCGATTGATATGCTGAAATTTCCATCGGTTTTTGCAAATTCGGATGGGTAGGCCATCTTGACCTCTATTCATGCAAGTATCGGTTGAAAGAAAGCGGTATTACTTTAAAAAAATTGGATTACAAGGCAAAGTGTGAACCTTTTTAGACATCCATACAGGAGATCGATCAAACAAGCCATTTTTAACATACAATTTGATGTTTCCACAGTTTGGGTTTGAAACATTATGTTGAAGGCAAGTAGGAAGAGTAGGAGCAGAAGAATGGCTAATGAAATAGCGTAAGTGGCATGAAAAAAGGAATCTCCTTTTTTATGAGCTAAAGAAAAATGCACAAGAGCAGCCTTCTTGTGCATGTACAAAAAGCTGAGGAAAGCAGAACCTCATTGTGATATAAGCTGTGCCTTGAAATTCTGATATGGAGCATTCCTTGCTGTAGTGAAGCAGTGCGGCGCCCAGGTTGGCTGTCCTGTTTTGATGAAACGTGAGAATTTGCCAAACTGGAAGGAAGGTCTTATAGATCATTCAATCTGCAGGGCATTGCACGTTTTGATAAATAGTAGCAGTTTACAATAAATTAAATCAGTAAATGAAAACAAGTAAAAAAAAAAAATCAAAGAAGATATTGTTTGGTACATTGTTGGCAATTTGTCTTTTTTTTTTTTGTTTTGTGATGTGAATGTCCCTAATTTATCTTGTTTTTCTGGTTAAGGGGCAAAATTTTACAATTTCATTGTCAGGATTTTTCTTCGAAAGTCGGCATCTTTTCTTGGTGGGTGTGGACCGTAGAGAGTGACAACTTGATGGCAAAACAAGGCGCTTTACTTGACCAAATAAATGTAAATATTTCAAAAGCAAATAGACTTTCTCTAAATTGCAAAAGAAGATATTGTTTACCAGTACAAGAAAACATGTAAATTCATTATATTTTTCAGTACTCTCTTGGTTTTTGCATAGAGGAATTATACATCATGGGAAATTACTAAAAAAACTAAAATAAAACATGGTTTTATTATTCATTTTCATTATTTGAAATATTATTCACACATTCATAAATCACTATTCACACCGACATAAATCACTATTCATTTTACTATTTATGTCAATTTTTTTAGCACTTCGATCCTCAATTTTTTATATTTATTTTTTTTAATTTCAAACTTTAATTGTATTGTGATTTGGTTTCATTTTGTTTTAATATTTTGTTTTAATTATTTTTATTATTTAAAATTTACTACTTTAATTTGTCATCTTTTTAATATAGTCATATGTTATTAATATTATGATCATATTATAATAATATTATTTTTCTAAACTAAGTATTTACTATTTATTTTTGAATTAAATAATTAAAATAATGTTCTTGCTTAACCACTCGATGATTCAAATTTATATAGTTTTTTTTATTTTAATATTATTCATTCTTTTGTACATAAATATATAAAAATTAAATTCACATTTTTTAAAAACCAATATTATCATCAACATTAAATAAATAAATAAATTTTGTTCAATTCTATATAAGTTTTAATAGTTGTTATTTATGTTTTTTTTGACACGATCTTATGAAATACTAAAGTCTTTTTAAAAATAATTATTTTAATTTTTTTTAGTTAATAATCCATAGATTAAAAAGGATAAATCTTTTTTTAAAGGAAAAAAATATGAAAAACATAAATAAGAAATAGTTAAATACAAAATTTTTGATTAAAAAATTATAAATAAACTTTTTCACTTTTGATTTCATATATTTTTCTAAATGATTTTATATATTTTATCCAATATGCAGCGTAGTACGGATAAAAAAACTAATGTGCAGGTAAAAAATAACGAGAATTTTTGGTATATCTTGCTGTGATTTCAGTATTCGTTGATCTCGCAATATAGGGCAACATGAATGATACATGTGCTGTATTTGTACCAATTAGGTAGGGTTTGGTTCGGAGTACAAGGCCAAAAGTACAGGCAGGTAAGGGATAGAAATTAAACATTCAAGGATTTGGCTATGGAGGAGTGGGACTGTGGGGTAGAGGAATAGACACATGCAAATTTCATTGCAAGAGGGCCGGAAGAAGATGTAGATGCATTCATGTTTTTTTTTAGTGATTAGTTAGTTTGGTATCTGAGAAACCTTTGAGTCTAAGCGAGCTAAAGACTGAACAAGAAGAAGAACAAGCAAGCTCTCTCTATCCTTCTCCTACCTCTACTTAACGTCTCTTAGACTCAAAAACACGACTTCTCAACTCACAGTTTGGTACACAACATCTCTTACAATATTACACATCCTCAAAAGACACTCAAAAGACACTTGATATTAATTTCCAACCAGCTCTTCTTTAATACCACTCACCTCTCCGTCCTCTCCTCTCACCATCTTTCTTTCACTTTCTCTTCTTCAGTTTTTTCTTTTTCTCTTGCTGTTTGTTGCCCATGGCTGGCCTTGTCACGGGCAGTTCCCATCCTTTGCATGCCAAAGACGAGGTACGTAACACATTCTTTTACTTATTAATCCATTTTCATAATCTGGGCTACTCTCTTTTCCTATTATTATTGATCATGAGTATTTTACACTTGTAATATTGTGCATGGCAGCTGAGGCCTCCAAGTCGCCAGTCTGCAACTTCGAAAAAATGTAGAGTATGTGGGGATGAGATTGGAGTTAAGGAAGATGGAGAGGTGTTTGTTGCTTGTCATGTGTGTGGCTTTCCTGTTTGTAGGCCTTGTTATGAGTATGAGAGGAGTGAAGGCAACCAGTGTTGTCCTCAGTGCAACACTCGCTATAAGCGTCACAAAGGTTTGTCAACTTGTCCACTCATTCTAATTGACCTACATTTTTCCTTTCATTTCTTAGTAAACAAACATGTTATGTCAATCTAGTTTTAATTAAGGTTAGTTGTGTGCAGGCTGTCCTAGAGTTCCTGGAGATGATGACGACGACGACAAGTTTGATGATTTTGATGACGAATTTCAGATTAAGCCTCATGATCATGATGACTCCAATCAGAAAAATGTTTTTAGTCACTCGGTAAATCAATTCAACAGAAACCAATTTCTTTTGTTGGCATAAATTAGAATTTCGAACTGATTCATGTCTTTTCGGTAGATGGAGACCAAAATTTAGGCCACCTTGGCCATCTCTAGCTATTGATCAACTCATCCGCATGCTGTTTAAGAAAACTAGTCCAAAAGAATTTTGCTGTCCCCTCTAATGTTCAAAATTTAAAGAATGTTTTGTTTCCCAATAGAAAATTAAACTAAAGTGAACTCTAATTATTGTTTGATTGATTTGAATTCAAAGAAAAGCCATCTTTTAAAAGAATAGGAAGATCTCTAAGGCTATGGTGGTGAGTTTTGCAGGAAATTGAGCACTATAATGAACAGGAAATGCATCCCATTCGTCCTGCCTTTTCCTCTGCTGGAAGTGGTATGCAAATTTTATGCTATGATTTCACATTAGGATCCATATAGAAGAAACTTTATTTGTTCCTTCATATACTTGTGGATTGGTGTAGTTGCTGGTAAGGATATTGAGGGCGAGAAAGAGGCTTACAGCAATGCAGAATGGCAAGAGAGAGTGGAGAAATGGAAAGTCAGGCAAGAAAAGAGAGGTTTAGTGAGCAAAGATGATGGAGGAAATGATCAAGGAGAAGAAGATGAGTACCTGTGAGTGACTTTGTATCCACATCTTGTTCTCAGTAGGGTTATTCTTCTATCAGTACTGACAACTTGCCTTTTCAGTATGGCTGAAGCTAGGCAACCACTATGGAGAAAAATTCCAATTCCCTCAAGCAGAATCAATCCATATCGAATTGTCATTGTCCTCCGACTTATCATTCTTTGCTTCTTTTTTCGCTTTCGGATCTTAACTCCAGCTTATGATGCTTTTGCATTATGGCTGATCTCTGTAATTTGCGAGATATGGTTTGGCCTTTCCTGGATCCTTGACCAGTTCCCCAAATGGAACCCCATTGAACGTGAAACGTACCTCGATCGCCTATCCTTGAGGTTTGAGCGTGAGGGCGAGCCTAATCGTCTAGGCCCGGTTGATGTGTTTGTGAGTACTGTGGACCCTCTCAAGGAACCACCGATTATAACTGCAAATACAGTCCTTTCAATCCTAGCTATTGATTATCCTGTTGACAAGGTCAGTTGTTACGTATCGGATGATGGTGCATCCATGCTCCTTTTTGACTCACTGGCAGAAACTGCTGAGTTTGCAAGGAGATGGGTTCCATTTTGCAAGAAGCATAACATTGAGCCAAGGGCTCCCGAGTTCTACTTCACTCAGAAGATTGACTACTTGAAAGATAAAGTACACCCCAACTTTGTGAAGGAGCGCAGAGCTATGAAAGTAAGCAAGCAGAACCAACTTCCAAAGCATAAAACATTTAGTGGAAGTTCTATAATTATTATATGTTGTCTTAAGGGATTGATTGTGTGGTTTTGTAGAGAGAATATGAAGAATTCAAAGTAAGGATTAACGCATTGGTGTCAAAGGCTCAAAAGAAACCAGAAGAAGGATGGGTGATGCAGGATGGAACCCCATGGCCAGGAAACAACACACGTGATCATCCTGGGATGATTCAGGTTTATCAACATCATCCATATATATTTCACTGTTTTAGCCTCAGATTTGATTTCATATTACATTGCAACTCAAAGTTGCTTCGCTTTGCAGGTATATCTAGGAAGTGAGGGTGCGCTCGATGTGGAAGGCAAGGAGCTTCCGAGGCTTGTGTATGTTTCCCGTGAAAAACGACCTGGTTATAACCACCACAAGAAAGCAGGAGCCATGAATGCTCTGGTGAGTAACACTTGACCAAATATCAGGTTTGCTGGGTCTGACGAGATTCAAATAACTAATAGAATCAATTGTTGTATGCCATTTCTAGATTCGAGTCTCAGCTGTGCTCACCAATGCACCTTTCATGTTGAATTTGGATTGTGACCATTACGTCAATAACAGCAAGGCTGTAAGAGAAGCCATGTGCTTTTTGATGGATCCCCAGCTTGGGAAGAAGCTCTGCTATGTCCAGTTTCCTCAGAGGTTTGATGGTATCGATCGCCACGATAGATATGCTAATCGAAATGTTGTTTTCTTTGATGTAAGTTGTGCTAGATTCTTAAACTCTCATAATCTGTTATGTTAACCAAATAACATGGCGACAATTTCTGCATTTTCCATCTAACCAATGAGTGAGTGATGCCTCCTTTCTTTTTCTTTCTTTCTTTTTGTTTTTTTTCAGATTAACATGAAAGGTCTAGATGGGGTCCAAGGGCCGGTATATGTTGGTACTGGATGCGTCTTCAACAGGCAGTCCTTGTATGGCTATGATCCACCAGTGTCCGAGAAGCGACCCAAGATGACATGCGATTGCTGGCCATCATGGTGTTGTTGCTGCTGTGGTGGTTCAAGGAAAAAGTCTAAGAAGAAAGGGCAAAGAAGTCTGCTTGGAGGACTATACCCCATGAAAAAGAAAATGATGGGGAAGAAGTACACAAGGAAAGCATCTGCACCAGTCTTTGATCTTGAAGAGATTGAAGAAGGGCTTGAAGGTTACGAAGAGTTGGAGAAATCATCACTCATGTCACAAAAAAGTTTTGAGAAACGGTTTGGGCAATCACCAGTATTTATTGCCTCCACCCTCATGGAAAATGGTGGCCTGCCTGAAGGAAATAATTCTCAATCACACATTAAGGAAGCTATTCATGTTATAAGTTGTGGGTATGAGGAGAAAACTGAATGGGGTAAAGAGGTGAGCTCAATTGTCTCTTTGTTTTCAATGAATCTTTCAAGACTTGCAACTTATGGATTCAATTTTCTTTTATCGAAAAATCATATACTCATGGAGTCTGAAGAACCTAGCATTTTAACAAATTTCCTGTTGTGTTTGTTTATTCACGAGACCATTTAAGCTCCATTTTACTTATCTGCTTCAAAGTTGAAACCTAAATGCACATGCAAAGCCAATGTTTAAACCATAATCATAACTGGGTGAGTTGAAAGATTACTGAATGAAGAATTTGATTCATCGCAGGTCGGATGGATTTATGGTTCTGTTACAGAAGATATCCTGACAGGCTTTAAGATGCATTGCAGAGGATGGAGGTCCGTCTACTGTTCACCACCGAGACCAGCCTTTAAGGGATCTGCTCCCATTAATCTATCAGATAGGTTGCACCAAGTTCTGCGATGGGCTCTTGGCTCTATTGAAATTTTCCTTAGTCATCACTGTCCTCTATGGTATGGCTATGGAGGAAAGTTGAAGTTGCTGGAGAGGCTTGCTTACATCAACACCATCGTTTACCCTTTCACTTCCATCCCCTTACTTGCCTACTGTACTATTCCAGCAGTCTGCCTCCTGACAGGAAAATTTATCATCCCTACTGTAAGTGACAGATACTGAATAGCATTGCATTGCATAAATTAACACATTCAAAATAATAACATCCCTCCATGCACAGGTAGATTATTTTTACTTTATCCAAACCATATATGATTTCCCTGTACTAATTTTAACCAAAAATGTATTTCTATGCAGCTGAACAACCTTGCTAGTGTATGGTTCCTAGCCCTTTTCATCTCAATTATAGCAACATCTGTGTTAGAGCTTCGATGGAGTGGAGTGAGCATCCAGGACTTGTGGCGTAACGAGCAATTTTGGGTCATCGGCGGTGTCTCGGCACATCTTTTTGCCGTCTTCCAAGGCCTCCTCAAGGTCCTTGGAGGAGTTGACACTAACTTCACAGTTACGGCCAAAGCAGCAGATGACGCTGAGTTTGGAGAGCTGTACCTCTTCAAATGGACAACCCTTCTCATCCCACCAACAACTCTGATTATCTTGAATATGGTTGGAGTAGTGGCAGGAGTATCTGATGCAATAAACAATGGATATGGGTCATGGGGTCCTTTATTTGGGAAGCTGTTCTTCGCTTTCTGGGTCATTGTCCATCTCTATCCTTTCCTCAAAGGTCTAATGGGAAGGCAAAACAGGACTCCTACAATTGTTGTCCTTTGGTCTATACTTCTTGCATCTATTTTCTCATTGATTTGGGTTAGAATCGATCCCTTCTTGCCCAAGCAAACTGGCCCAATTCTCAAACAATGTGGGGTGGAGTGTTAGATAGCTTGTCAACGTCTCTTGAGGTCAGGTCCTGTCCAGTGTCCTGCATTTTGAGTCTTTCAGGTTATGCCACTTTTGCTCACTTGTTTTTTTGTGTTTTAATGGGGAGGGGGTTGGTCAGTGTATGAATTATCAGTGAGAGATTTTGCTGTTAGCAAGCAAGCATATGCCAAATTTGACAATTTCATTAACAAGAATTCAACTATATATATAAACAAGAAAAAAAATGAATTTTAAGACCTATTTACTCTTTCAAATCTATTATTTAATAAATCAAGTTGGATTTCAGTTTCTGATGGCATTTTTCGGGACGGAACCAGATAAGATTGGGAGGGCAAAAAAAAATTGATTTTTGGAGTGCGAAACATGCATTTCCTATAAAATAAACTTTAACATGAAGGGTATAATTAAAAATGTCAAAATTTTAGGACTAAAATATAAAACTTTCCAAGAATCTTTACTGCCATAGCAATTTCAATTTGTCCAAGAAACTTTGTTGTCAAAGCAGCCCTTCATACCAAGTCAAAGCAAACTCTTTTATTCTTCCACTCCAGGCTGTAGAACGTGTACATGCATTATGGGATGGAGATTGGGGCAAGTAGCTGATCAGTTTTGACGTTCCAAGAAGCAACATTTTCGGATTTTTCAATTTTTTTTTTTTTTTTGGGGGAAATGTTAACTCTAAAATTAATCAATGATGTGTACATTCTATTTCTTCAGTCCGGATCCATATTTTTACCATGGTGTACGACATAACCCGGCGGGGGGGGGGGGGGGGGGGGGGAAGAAGGTAAAGATAAGCAACTCAAATTCGTAAAATTGAAAGTTGTGCACTCAAATAGAAAATTAATCAAGGCATTATACTTCCACTGGTCTCCGCCGTGGTCTGAATCGGACGGCGGCTAAAGATTGTCCACTATCAAGGCAAGTAATATCTCCCTCTGGTTCAAAGTCAACTATAGACAAGATAATAGAAAATGTGAATTTGGCAGAGAATCTTTTGAAGCGTCTGTCCATCATCTTTGACAAAAAACACCAAAAGAAATTGATTGGTTGACGAGTACTTGGGCAGATTTTTTTAAGGAGAAAAGAACATAGTAAACAATACTATTACAGCTTGCTTAGGTTCCGTATATGATATGAAACATAGTAAACCTCAGTATTATAATCCATATAACGCGGCGTCATCAAGGAAGTAAAGCAGAGATATTTTATATTACTCAAAAAATAATTAGTGTACGTGTTTTTTATTATTCAATGAACATCTTATATTTCATAAAAATTGAGAGCAATATAACCTTTACTAAAGGATAATTATTATAAGATATGCTCAACATATCATAAGATTCTTCTTCTTTTTTTTGAAAATCTGCACGTTTTTCAAACCCAGAAAACAAATGGAATTCTAGGATTCTTCCTAGGGGCAAATACTTTTATACATATTTCTTCAGGTTGATCTAGAATATCATATTCTGAAGGCTACCTTAATAAGGTTGTTTACTAGTGTACAATAGTATAAAATTTCTCAGTAAAGCCTACCTTAACCTACAAGTTCCATCATGTTCTATTTCTGAAAGCTAGTTAACTTGCTGATGGTTATTGAGTCCAATGGCTCAGCCAGGTAAGCTTGAGTTCGTGCTGATAATTCTTGCGCCACAAAATGCATGGTGGGTCGTGTCTCTGGCTTGGTTCGAGTGCATGCTAAGGCCACCGACACTACGAAAACAACTTCCTCTGCTGCTTGGTCCGTGGGAGCTTCTAGCCGCGAGTCTAGCACGTCCTTCAGAAATAACTCTGGATCGTTCGACAAAGATGATTTTATTGATGATAAGGAAGTTAAGAGCTCTCCCGGGTGCTTTCCCATCATAACTTCCAAAGCGACCACTCCAAAGCTATACACATCACATTTGTCTGTTACCCGCATTGTTTGTGCCAGCTCTGGAAACATCAGGCAAAGAAAAAGAACATTTGCAAAGTTTAGTCACCAAGACGCAGGCAATTAACAAGGACAAAATGCTATAAGTGATTGTGAGAGTTTTGTTTGGTTAAAGAGGAGGCAAGATTTAGTAATATAAGAAACCGTTTTTAAAGGAAACCTTTTTCGGCAACATAACTGAAACATTAAAACATTATGCCATGTTGTCCATTTCCTTCTTGTAGCTTCTATACCTTTAAGAGAACAGCTATTAAAACTCTACTTCAGAATACTCAATGGACAAGAATAAGAATGCACCATTTAGGATTGTTAGCTTACCTGGAGCCATGTAGCCATAAGACCCAGCAACTGCAGTCCAGTTGGAGGAATTGGAATCCAAGAGTCTTGCTGTGCCAAAATCTGAAAGACGTGGCTCAAAATCTGTCTCTAGCAAAATGTTATTCATCGATATGTCTCGGTGCACAATGGGTGGAGAACAGTCATGGTGCAAGTAGGCAATTGCATGAGCTACTCCTCGCACTATATTCACTCTCCTGCCCCAACCAAGCTCCACTTCCCCTTCTATCCCATAAAATACTTTTCCCAAACTTCCTCTTTCAACATACTCGTAAACCAAGTACAACAAGCCCCTCCTGGAGCAAAACCCGTGAAGCTTGATAATGTTCCGGTGCCTAACTTCTGTCAGCATTTTAATCTCATTCTCGAAACTCTGGCGATTGATCACTGGGATGTCACTGGAGTCCGACATGTTGAGTTTCTTGACAGCAACCACTTGACCTGTGGACAATACTGCTTTGTATACGCTGCCAAATCCTCCTCTTCCAATGCAGTACTTCTCATTGAAGTCATCAGTGGCCTTGACAATATCCCCAAATGTGAACTTGCCTTCTCTTTCCCATACCATTGACCGAGAACTCTCACCATTATTGGAGCTTTTGGTCTCTTCATCAAGCAGTTTGATTTTTCGGCAACATAGCAGAACAGCAAAAATAGTTGCTATTACTAATAAGCCACAAACTGGAACGATAACCCCAATAAGGACCTTTTTGTTATGCTTTGAGGACTTGCCACTGTCTGTTGTTGGACATTGTGATAATCCTTCTGCTTCACCGCACAATCCTGAATTTCCAATAAAAGATCTTGCAGATGCATTTTGGAAAACGGTTCCAGTTGGTATAGCCCCAGTCAACTCATTGTATGAGAAATCAAAAGAATGCAGGCTATTCATAGTGGACAGCGAACCTGGGATTCTTCCTGAGAGATGGTTATGTGAGACATTGAGGTTCTCCAACATTGAAAGCTTTCCCAAAGCTGAAGGTATGGTTCCTGAGAGTGAATTACTGCTCAGATCCAACAAGTACCGCAATGAGTTTAAGTTGCCAAGCTCAAAAGGTATTTCACCAGAAAGATTGTTGTGGCTCAAGTCCAAGCTTGATAGCTTTTCAGAACTCCCAAGCTCTCTAGATATGTTTCCAGTCAGCTTGTTATCAGATAAGTCAAGAGATTCAAGCCTTGTCAAACTGACTAGACCCTGAGGTATCTCCCCTGTCAAACGATTGCTGCTCAAATTGAGCGTGAATAACATGCTTAGATTTCCCAGTTCAGCAGGAATCCTCCCAGTCAGGTCATTGGAATCCAGACTCAGAACTCCCAGCCGGGGCAACTTCCCAAGCTCAGCAGGGATTTCACCAGAAATTCTGTTTCTGCCCATCTGTAAATTGGTGAGGTTTTTGCATTCTCCCCAATCTGGTGAGATTTCACCAATAAATTGATTGTCACTAAGAGCAACAAAAACAAGGTTTGGAAGAACACCAAATGCATCGGTGATGTTTCCAGTGAATTGGTTGTATTCAAGCCGAACTCGAGTTAGTCCTGAACAATTCCTCAAGCAGGTTGGCAATGACCCTGTAAAGTTGTTGCTATTGACAGTAAATTGTTCAAGACTCAGACCACTGCACAATTCGCGTGGCAATTCTCCAACGAAACTATTGTTTGAAAAGCTAGCATACACCAGAGAAGGAATATCCTTCCCAAAATCACTTGGAATCTTGCCAGAGAAGTTGTTGCCAAACAGGTTGATAGAAGTTAAAGAAGTAAGATGTGAAATGGTCTCTGGCAACTCCCCATGCAGTCTGTTGGTGTTGAGATCAAGAATTTGCAGTGATGTCATATTTCCAACTTCTGGTGGAAGTATACCATTGATGTTATTGAAGAAAAGATTCAGAATTTGAAGATTTGAGAGATTCCACACTGTTGGAGGAATGGAGCCTGAAATATTATTTCCAGAAAGGTCTAGATTTATCAATTCTTTCAGGTTGCCTATCTCTGGGGGAATGGAACCAGAGAATGTATTATTATACAGATAAAGAAATTGGAGCATTGTCAATAGCCCAATTTCTGGAGGAATATTTCCAACAAACAAATTGTTTTGAACTTGAAAAGATGTCAATTCCGTCCAGTTGGATACAAGGGCAGGTGAGATCTCACCAGAGAAAGAATTTTCAGATAAACCTATTTCGGCTATTTTAGCTAGATTGGACAAAGACAAAGGCAACTCCCCACTTAGCTGATTACCAGCCAAGGCCAAGTAGGTGAGGTTAGTACAAAGGCCAAGCTCAGGAGGAATGGTTGAATTTAAGGCATTCAAGCGGAGATCAAGTTTTTCAAGGTGCTTAAGTTTGCCTAAAGAAGATGGAATTTTCCCATGGAAAGCATCGTTGAACAATTCAACACTTCGAAGACCAGATATCGAACCAATGCTTTCAGGAATTTGACCACCCAATTGGTTATTTTGTAGACTCAGGCTTTTGAGATTGGAAAGCTTCGAAATGTTGGGTGACAATGGTCCTTGGAATGAATTATCACCGAGATTCAAGGTCTCAAGCTTTCCCAGATTCGTATACACCAATTCTGGTATCTGACCAGTGAAGTTGTTGAATGACAAATCCAGAAACGTCAAGTTCCGGCAATTGGTTATGAAATCAGGGAATTCCAAAGTAAGTTCATTAAGATAAAGGCTAAGATATTCCAATGAAGACATGGAAAAATTAGACCAGTCAGGGGT